CAATGAGGGATTCGGTGAGCTGGTCGATGAGGAAGTCGGCAAGCTAATTGGTGCGGGAGTCGCTGAACTGGGCGGTGCGGGAGCCGGCAAGCTGGCCGGTTAGGAAGTCGACGAGCTGGACGGTGTTGGAGTCGGCGAGCTAGCCGTCGCGGGAGTCGGTGCACTGGACGGTGAGGGAATCGGTAACCTGGTCGGTGCGGGAATCGGCCAGCTGGTCAACGCGGGATGTTCGGTGATGGAGTCGGTGGTTGGTCGGCGCGGGAGTCGGTGAGCTGGTCGGCGCGGGAGTGGGTGAGCGGGTCGGCGACGAAGTCGGCAGGCTGGTTGGTGCGGGAGTCGCTGAAATGGACGGTGCGGGAGCTGGCAAGCTGGCTGGCGTGGGAGTCGGCGAGCTGGCCGTCGCGGGAGTCGGTGCGCCGTGCGGTGATAGAATCGGTGATTTGGTCGGTGCAAAAAGCTTCTGTGAGACATCTGGAGAGCTTCCAGGCACGTGTACTGGGAAACGCCCGCCAGCCACACTTCCGGGCCGCGGTTCGCGGCGCTCCTCGCGCAGGCGGGGAGGTATAGCGGTCCTGCAGAGCAGATTGCCGCTCCTCGGCCGCTGGCGGCGGCGGCGGGGGGGGACATGCCGACCTCCAGAGTGCCCAGCTAGGGCGCCTCGTGGCGCCGCAGCCGACGCTGCAACGCCAGTGTCCGCCATCACGGCGGCGAAGAACCTCCTGGCACTGGTCGGGGCCCAGAGATGCGCCCGTCTCCTCATATCCTTGGCCTGGCGCTGCAGCCATCGCCTCCAGTGCTCCTCCGATTCGGTGTCGGCGGCCTCCCTGGCGCTGCGTCTCCTGCGACCCATGTCTCGCCGCTGGGCACAGTTGAAGCGCCGCTGGATCTCAGTAAAATCCAGGATGCCCACGTTGCCCCTCCGTCCGCCCACTGCTAGGAACCCACGCGCCCAAGAATGCCGACGGAGAACAAGAGCGGCCAGCTCGCATGCTGCCGCCAGCATGCGCGTGCCAACTGCCCAATAACTGCCCCCAGATCATCGCGGCGGAGGCCTTGCTACCAGTGTTGGTCACGAGCTGCCCCTGCTGCAGCAGCTGGGCGACCTTCTGCAGGATATGCGCACGTACATCGCGTACAGGTCTGGGGGCCAGGAGGTGGTCCACCGACGCCTGCTCCAAGTACGCCTTCACGATCTCCAGAACCCTCGGCGCCTTGAAGTGCGCTATGGGTAGAGGAGCGGGAGTGTCGGGATCGCGCTCCACGGGCTGCCGCAGGCCGACGCAAGCGACGACCATTGCGTGGTCGCTGACGCCAGCCAGGTGGAGTTCTCGAGGCTCGCCCCTCACATCCGCGGACTGCCACTGCTGGCGAAGCGCCTGGTCTCGGCTGCTAACGCAAATCTTATCAATGGCCGAGCTCGTCTTCTGGCCCTCGTGCCATTGAGTGGGGCGCCTGGCGTCCAGCAGCACCGTGCCCTGGATCGCCTGCTCCGACTGGCGCTGTTGGGGGTGGCGCGCCAGCTGCGCTCCACTGTCCACCATCGGGAGGAAGGTGTCCGGCTCAGACGTATCGCCAAAATTGATCCTCTTGGCCGTAGGCGCATCATGATGAGCCAGCGCCCGGACGTTTAACGTGGCGAAGAGCACCTCCCGGCCGTCCCCGCCCCAGCCCCTGGCCAATGTGTTAAAGGCTCCACTCCTGAGCCACGGCGGCAAAGAGCGGGCCGTGCACCTCTCCAGGTCTTGCTTGTTGAGGCCGAGGGCACCGAAGGAGGTGAGGTTCCAACTGACCGAGGGCGCGTCCAAGGGGCCGGGAGGTGACCTTGAGCAGCTGCTTCCACTGTGCGTGGAGGAGGAGGAGGAGGAAGGAGGGAAGGAAGGAAGGAAGGAGGAAGGGAGGAAGGGAGGGAGGAAGGAGGAGGAGGAGGAGGAGGAGGAGGAGGGAGGAGGAGGAGGCGAGGAGGAGGAGGAGGAGGAGGAGGAGGAGGAGGAGGAGGAGGAGGAGCAGGAGGAAGGAGCACAGCGTAGAGGAAGGAGGAGGAGGAGGACGAGGAGGAGGATCGCGTTGCATTGCTGATGCCCTTGAGGGAAGGCATAACCATGTCGAGCCGCGGATAGGGCACATGGGCCCTCCGATCCTTAGAGCGGCGTTCGTCAAGGTTGGGATGGCAAACAGGAGGAGGAGGAGGAGGAGGAGGAGGAGGAGGAGGAGGAGGAGGAGGAGGAGGAGGAGGAAGAGGAGGAGGAGCTGAGGAGCTGAGGAGGAGGAGGAGAAGCAGGAGGAGGAATAGGAGGAGGGAATGTCGATGGAGTTGTTTGGGGTGCCGAGCGCGCAGGGAGGGCCAGGACCGACCGGGAGAGAGGCAGCGCGGGGCGCGAATCATCTGACTGTGTCTTCGGGGGTGGATGGGAGCTCGAGAAGGGTGGATGGGGAGGGAGGCGCACAGGCGGCGACGGCGGGCGAACGGGCAGGTGCGATTCCCTTCCGCTGCGGTGCGTGACGAGCGCCACGGCGCGGGCTTCAGTGGCTGCAGCTGCAGTAGGACCTCGGCCACAAGAAACCTTCCGCAAGAAACCCAACCCTGAGATCCCAGGTCGTCCATTGATTTCTCGTGTGGGAACGTCACGCTCTCCGCTGCAAAACCGTCGCAGCCCAAGAAACCCAGGGCACCATGGAGGCAAGCACGGTGTTTCTTGGCATGGGTCTCCACCGTATATCAGAGCTTGCGTCGAAGCGCAAGCTGTGTGCTCTGTGGTGCGCGTGCAGCATGCGGTGCACCACAATGACGGTGTGCAGCAGCAGACCTAGATCCAAGCGGCGCGTGCTCAACAAGGCCAATGGCCGCGACGGGGTCAGAGGGGGGTGGTGCTCCAAGCGCTTCCGAAACCAGCCCAGGCGTCCGCCCACATTCACCTCGGCAATGCTTGAGCGAATTCCGAGCCCCCCTCGTGCTCAAATGTGCATCGCAGCGTAGTGATAGGCCAGGCCCGGCTCAGAGTACCAAGTCGCCCGCCGCCTCTACGTAGGTGGAAGCAGAGCACGCATTCGATTTTGTGATGTGACCTCCATCCGCGGCCGCAAACACGTCAGCTTATTATCATACTTTCGCGACTTACAACTTGCTGGCACAATGCTGTTCTGTATGCATAATCAGATTCCTCTCTCTAACTATCTCTCGCGAATTCCCCCCTCCCCTACACATCTTTGTGATACGGCTATATGTTTGTATGTACGTATACATTATATATACACATACATACACGCGTGTAGATGTATCCCAGTAGCTCTCTCTCTCTCTCGTTTCCATCTCTTTCTAGTCTTCTAGCTTACATGTATAGATGTGCCTCTCTCATTCCCTCTCGATTCTCTCTTTATTTCTCTTTCTCTTGTCCCTCTCTCTCTCTCTCTTTCTGCCACTCTGCTCGTAAAAGTGCCCGCTGCGTGTTGTGAGAACAACCACGCTTGCGAAGATAGGAGGGAGGGACTGCTCCAGGCTCGAAGAACCCCAGCTCAGAAGCCCACCGCGGGCGCCGACTTGTCCGCACAAGGAGCTGCATTGTGCGCCCCAGGCCTGGCGCCAACGTTGACCAAGCGCGGGCCCAAGGCCGGACCACCCCCCGACGACAACGACGACGACGGCGACGACGACGACGACGACGACGACGACGATCGGCGCCATGGCGACGGCGCCCCAGGGGTGCCCCTTCGCCAAGGTCCCCCGGCGGCCCCACCCGCCCGTCGCGGGCGGCCTTCCCCGACCTCCCAAGGCCCACCCAGCCCACGCGGCGCCGCGGGCCTTCTGTGGCTGTGGAGAGGAGCAGGAGGATGGGGAGGAGGAGGAGGAGGAGGAGGAGGAGGAGGAGGAGGAGGAGGAGGAGAACAAGAGGAGGAGGAGGAGGAGGAGGAGGAGGAGGAGGAGGAGGAAGAGGAGAACAAGAGAGGAGGAGGAGGAAGAGGAGGAGAACAAGAGGAGGAGGAGGAGGAAGAGGAGAACAAGAGGAGGAGGAGGAGCAGGAGGAGGAGGAGGAGGGAGAACAAGAGTAGGAGGAGGAGGAGGAGCAGTAGGGGGAGGAGGAGTAAGAGGAGTGTGAGGAGGAGGAGGAGGAGGAGGAGGAGGAGGAGGAGGGAGGAGGAGGAGGAGGAGGAGGAGGAGGAGGAGGAGGAGGAGGAGGAGCGCAGCTAGCTCAGGAGGAGAAGGAGGAGGAAGAGGAGGGGAGGGCGGCAATATGGAGTCACCAACTTATGAGCTCTCCGAGCCAGCCAACGCGCGTCCGTCATGGTATGGTTCGTACGAGCAGAGTCCCTCCATATTGAATCGTCGCTGTGGAAGCTTGAGCATCGATTTATGTGAGCGCATATATATATAGAGAGAGAGAGATGTCGATCGGCAAGTGCGTAGTCATGTGTGCATCAGTGTGTCCAAAGTGCTACGCATATCTAGACAGTAACACATGCACATAGACATGTATCGATATACATGTACACACACATATATATATATATATATATATATATGGGCAAGAGAGAGAGAGAGAGAGAGAGAGACAGAGAGACAGAGAGACAGAGAGACAGAGAGACAGAGAGACAGACAGACAGACAGACAGACAGACAGACAGACAGACAGACAGACAGACAGACAGACAGACAGACAGACAGACAGACAGACAGACAGACAGAGAGACATAATACGAGAGTCGAATATGAGTAGGAAGGAAGGGACAGGATGAACGAGAGGAAGGAAAGGGAGAGGGGTAGGGGTGGGACGTGACAGGACACAAAAAGGAGGGGATGAGGTGGAACGGAGGGACGATAGACGGGGACGGAGAAGGGCAGCTGTATGTGCAAGGGGAGAAGATGGGGGTTATACAAGAGGGATGCGCGTCCAGCTGGTCAGGTAAACGCCTGCCCCCGCGCCATGTCTGCTTCTCTTGCTCCTCTCTACCTCGTCCGCCTCTTCTGTCTTCGCATGGAAATGAAATCAGTGACGCTGAGACGCCCGCGCTTGCGCGCGACATTCGCGCCCAGGCCGCCAAGCCGCCAGGGCTGGTCGACCTGGCCACGCTGGCCGCTGGCAACTATCCCTCCGAGCCTGCCGCTGCTGCTGCTCATTCCCTTCTCCTTCTCCGCCTCCTCCGTCTCTTCCTCACTATCGAATTCTTCCTCCGCGCCGGCCCACCCCCGCACTTCCTCTCCTCGGCCTCCCAGTTCTGCACTCCCTGTTTCTGTATATGTCGCTGCCTCCCTGTCTGTCTATCTGATTGTTTGCCTGCCTCTCTCTGTCTGTCTGTCCGCCTGTCTGCCTGCCTGCCTGCCTGTCTGTCTGCCTGCCTGCCTGCCTGCCTGCCTGCCTGCCTCTCTCTCTCTCTCTTTCTTTCTCTCTCTCTTTCTCTCTCTCTCTGTAGCTGTTCCTCGCTCATTCGGTGTTGTTACGTATGTCTCCCGTGCAATGCATGAGATGCACACACATGTGCATCACCTGAGTAGGTAAGAGAAAGAGGGGGGAGAGAGAAAGAGAGAGAGAGGGGGAGAGGGAGAGAGAGAGGGAGAGAGAGCCACGCGCGCGCTTCGCGCGCTCAGGTTCTAGCGCAGACCAAGCTAACATCACAGGATAGGGTGAGGATGGACATCGCACCGCACGGGCCACCATATAGGAGTGCAATTCCTGATAGACGCTTCAAGCGTCGCTGACTGAGGCTCCAGGAAGTCGCGAAAGGCAGCCACGAGGAGGATCCAGGGCAGCCTAAGGGGGGAATGCCCGAGAGCTCCTAAGAGCACTGGCACAACCATGCTGGGAATCTCTATGGACACCTTTGGGGAACGTTCTTGGAGGGCTCTTGGGGGTTTCTGGGAGGTGGGGCTTCTCCAGTTTTTATTGGGGGGCTCCTGGTGGCCTCTTGGGACTTTTTGGGGGCGCCTCGGGGGCCTCCCCAAGGCTCGTGGCGTCTGGGCTCCAAGTGTCGGTTTGGATGATCGCTCTTGCCCCTGTCGTGGGGCCGTCTTGAAGACCTCCTGGGCCGTCTTGACGGCCTCTTGGGCCGTCTTGCCGCTCTCTTGGGTCGTATTCGGGCCGTCGCGGGGAATTATTGGGCTGTCTTGGTGCAATCTTGGGGACCTTTTGGGCTGTCTTGAAGCGTTCAGAAGCAAAAAAAACACGAGGGAGGCGGAGAGAGAAAGGCGTGAAGGAGAGACGAGGAAGGAGGAGGGAAAATGACGCAGCGGGGAGGAAGGAGGAGAGGAAGGAGAAAGATGTGGAACGGGAGACGGAGAAGAACCAAAAACAAAACAAAGAAACTCCAGAGAGCGGACAACGAGGGATAGAGGGAAACGGAAACGCACTCCGTGGCACGCCGCAATCTGGGACAGGAGGGAACGGATGGAAGGCGGGGGTCGACCTTGAAAAAACGGACTTGAGGAAACTCCTTTTTTTGAAGTTGCTGGCTCTGGAGGCCGCACCCAAGATCGCCCCAAGAGGCCTCCAAGATTGCCCCACGAGCTCTGGGGAAGCCCTCGAGGGGCCCAAATCATTGAACGACCAGGAATGAAGGAGACCGTATCAGACGCCCCCTCCATGTCGACCTTCTCCCTGACGCATCTCCTTCGCTGAACTGTTTCCAGGCCCTGGTGTCACAAAAGCCGCTGATTCTGTCCAGCATGCCCGTGTGGCTTGCGATGTCGTCTACGTGTCAATGCCTCGGTATGCTCGTTTTTTGTTCGGAGGCGCACCTGAGTATATCTCAATCAGAGTCGCGTGCGTTAAGGGCGAGTGGGAAGTGTAGTCCTTCAAGTTGACTTTGCGCCATGGCGATCAGGCTGGTGGACGTGCGTTTCGTCAGCGGCGCGACAAAACTCTCACTCCTAAACAGGAGGCGCCGAGTGCTCCAAAGGTAATGAAAGCTCTGCTTTGGGGGCGGGCTTCCACCTCTCAGATACCAAGTCCAACCCGTGCTAGTCCACCCATCACCGCCACCTCAAAACGAACAACCTGAACAGCTTGAGGTCAGCTTACAAAAACCCAGGCTGCCACCAGCAACTTGATCTCGTGCGCTGTTGTGACTGGCGCCGCAGTGCACGCTCTGGTATCAGGAAGTTGGCCAAGCCCATGCGACACAGCCCCGAGACGCCCCTGTGCCTCTTATAGGGCAGACGAGGTTACGAATTGTGCGGTTTGGGGTGGGACCTGGCACCTCTGTATCAACCCACAGCGGTGCACCAAGTTGAATGAACCAGGGATGCAAGCAGGCCGATGAAGCTGACGAGAGGGACTGCCGGGAAACACAATTCTGTACAAACAGTTGGCGGCGAGCGCGACTGGGGAGTGAGAGGGGGCGGAAAATCTCAGAAGGCTCGGAAGTCCCCGGGCCTTCTGAGAAGTTGTCCAAGCCTTCCCCGAAGACCCGGGTAACTTCTGAGAAGCCCCGCCACCTTCTGAGAAGGCCTTCTCCTTCTCACGTCCCCCCCCTCGCTCGCCGCCGAAACAAGCGTGCCGACAAAAATTCTGGTTCGACAGCGCGGGAGGGGGACCTCTGCAATGCAGCCCGCGGCGCTGCGGCCGTCGCCTTCGATATACTCTTTGACCGGCTCTACCAGGCATTCCTTTCGAACCTTTCCTGCTCCTTCCGCCACTGGCTGATGCTCCCAGCCTGTCGACTAGACCATGAGGTTGCTGCATGTCTGACTGTCTCACCACTGCCTCGTCACCTCCCCTGCTCGAGTCGGGTACTCCTTGATTTCCAGACCACCACCTCGATGATAATGAAACGCAAGCCGAGCTGGCTGAAAACTAATCGCCCGAGACTTGTCACGTCAGCCCTGCCAAGCTACATACTTACCACCACACTCCATCGACGACTCACCCATGGCTGGAGACTGAAACGCAAGCCGACCTGGCTGGAAACTAATCATCCGAGATTTGTCACGCCAGCACTGCCAAGCTACATACCGACCACCACACTCCATCGACGATTCACCCATTCGCAACGTTTCACTCGATCCTCCTTCTGGTTCTGCTTCATCGCACCTCTCCCAGTTTGCTCCTACAGTTCGAGCGACTGCCAAACCCCACAATCTCTTTCACCCTCCATCCTCCCCCCATCTGACCAGTTGCCTCTTCTCTCTCTCTCTCTCTATCAGTCCCTCCCTCTTTCTCTTTGTTTCGTTCTCTCTCTCTCTCTCTCTGTCTCCTTTCTTCTCTCTCTCTCTCTCTTTCTCCTTCCCTCCCTCTCTCCCTCTCTTTCTGTCTCTTTTTTTGTCGCTCTCTGTCTCTCTCTCTCTCTCTTTTCTCTTTACCTTTCTCTCTCCTTGCCGCTTTGCTGGCCTCCTACTTTGGCATCGTCTAGAAGGATGGCTAACATTCCTCTTGCCCTACTCATCCTTTCCTCCGTCCATTCCTACTTGCCTCCACCCAGCGAATAAATACAATAGGGTCCCTGATGCTCAGGGTTGCCCCATCATGAGCATGGCGCCGAGAGCAGGAAGCGGCCCCTTGGTAGCGCCAGACATGAGCGAGCTCTGATGGTCGAACACACTGTCACAGAGAAACGCTCCAGACTCAGATGGGGGCATGCCGATGAAGCTAGGGGGGACATCTTGAAGGCGAGGCCGCAAGCAACAATGCTCAACACATGTGCTTCACCAAGTTGGGACAATACCGCAGCGGCTCACTTTTTAGGATCACTGTGTGGCTCGACACATGTCTGGCCCTGCACCACCATAATCTCAATACACTGTAACAAGAACGTTTCAGCAGACTTACAAGTTTACCAAACTCTGCCGCCGCATTGCATCTGAAGCCCTTCCTCTCGTGGAAACGCTCTGTAGAAATCGCCGAGGTGGCTTGGGACTCCAACTCCGAGATCAGGCGCTGGAGGACGCACAGCGCAAGGCGCTCGGCCGCGTCGAGCCCCAGCTGGCAACCTGTGCAGTTTGGGATACTGCAGTGTAGTGAAGCAAGGATGATTTGGCTCAGGATCCTGTAGTCTCGAAGTATCGGCGTTTATCAAACATCATTGGGAGCCTGTCCAAAGCTGGTCTGTCTCCAGATCTGGTATCTGGCATCGCGAGGGCTTCAGAAGAAGGGGTGTTCAAGAGTCGCACGGTCCAAGAACCGCCCTTCTACCTTGGGCGTAGCGACCGAACTCAAGCGCTCAACATGCATGCTTGACGAACTCGCTAAGTCAAATGTGAATCAAAGAAACTCCGACGGGGCTCAATCGAGTTGGCCAGACCGACATCTACTTGGCCGCAACAGAACGTTCCTTGGAAACGCGCAGGATCTCAAGACAACCGAAGACAAGACGCAATGACAATCCGGGATTCGAATCCGGTCCAGGATTTACGGGCATCCCACCCTTGACGTGTCGTGTTTATGATTGTCGGGACTAAACCTCTATGATCAAAAGACGTCAGGGGAGCGGGATCTCGCCCAGACCACTCAAGACGGGTGTCTTGCTAAGTTTCTGGGCGCAAGGGGGGTTCAACGCCGCCCGAGCCCTCGCCCTCCCCAGGGGCCGCCCTTGCGGGAACCTCGTGCTCGCGGGCGTCGTATGCAATGGGGCGAAGTGCTGAAACAAAATCCCATGAACCTTCGACGCAGCGATGTACGCGAAACGCCCGGCCCAGCTCGGAAAGCTGGTGGGAGGGAACGCCCAGACAACCTTCTCAGCTGACTGTGTTGTGTGCTGCTTTCTTGTCTGTTGACGTCGTAGTAGTAGTAGTAGTAGTAGTAGTAGTAGTAGTAGTAGTAGTAGTAGTAGTAGTAGTAGTAGTAGTAGTAATAGTAGTAGTAGTAGTAGTAGTAGTAGTAGTAGTAGTAGTAGTAGTAGTCGGCATAAACGTAGTAGTAGTAGTAGTAGTAGGTAATAGTAGTAGTAGTAGTAGTAGTAGTAGTAGTAGTAGTAGTAGTAGTAGTAGTAGTAGTAGTAAGTAAGTATAAGTAGTAGTAGTAGTAGTAGTAGTAGTAGTAGTAGTAGTAGTAGTAGTAGTAGTAGTAGTAGTAGTAGTA